TTTTTCCGCTTGGGAAGCGCAAGTGTGCGCGAGTTTTTCTACGGCGCTTTTCTTTCGTCGGTGAGTTGGTTTTTCTTCTATTTTTAAGTTACTAAGGTGAATGGTGAGGAAACCTTCGTCTTAACTAAACATAAGCCCCAAACAAAATATAATGAAAGCAAAATAAAAGTAAAATAAAAATAAAGCTCAGACTTGGTTCCTTACAACCCATTAGATGAATGGGCAGTTTTCAATACTCCCCTTTGTAATAAAGGTGATCAGCCAAATCAGTATATGTTTTACACTTGTAATTAACTACAACAATTGTTTATTACTTAGTCTTACCAGAATGACTGACTGATTTGAGTTCAGCAAAGTACTAAATTACTCCCCTACTAATATCCTACTAAATAATAAAAAAATGGAAAACTTTATTAAAATCAATGGAAACACAGAAAGCAAAATAATGAACAAGCATATCATGAGATGTTGCACTGAAACAAAAATAAACTCATTTTCATATGAATTGGCAAATCATGCACATGGCCATTAGAGCAAATTTCGGTGTTAACGCCACATGAATCAAATGGTATTTCTTAGCTCAAAAGAGTAGAAAAATATGTTCATTAATAACACATTCAGTGACACTTACCAACTCAATTGCTATCATTAAGGTGACCAACTTTTTACAATGAAAAGGAGGACACAAATAAATTGAAGGAAAAAATACTGTAAATAAAAGAAGCATTGTATTCATTGCAACAATAATACAGTATGATAATTTCTATATAATATTTCCTATTCATCTTTCACAAGTATTTCTTCAATGACTTTGAAACTGTTTAATATTAACTCTCTCTTTTTATACTAAAATTCTTATTGTCAACTTTGAAGATGACCTATTTTCTATTTTATAATCAAGTCTGAATTAAACAATATAAGCTTTTGCACTTGCTCAGTTTGTCATTCTTTTGAAATTATTTATTGTAACAAGAACAATTAAGCAACATGTCTGCTGAAGGTAGGTATTTTATTGTTTAAATGTAATATTTTTATTATGATATTTAATAATAATAAAGAGTTCAATATAAAACAGAATGCTAAGGAAAGAAGACACAAATGAAAATAATTATATAGAAAATGAATTTAAAAAACCGAATCATAACTTGGATTTCTGTTTAGATAAAAACAAACAGATGAAAAATTCATGCATATAAAGTCACTGATAAATTATGGAGGGATGGAGTTTCAAAGTAATATAATTAAGGGTAATTATAATTAAAATAAAGAGATTATATTTTAGATGTTTATGTAGCAATATATAAAAGTGATACCGGTGGTTGTGGTGATATAATTTTTTTAAAATGTGTAATTAATAAATTAATAAATATTAAGTGTAAGAATAAATATTACAAATATTCAGTAACTAGAAGAAGCTAAAGAATTGTTTTCATATCTTGTCCTCCTCCAACATCTCAAGAACACAAGTCATTACGGGTGGAGTCGACCTTTGAGTCTACTCAATCACCTGATATGCAAAAATGTTAAATAAAATTCTTGTGAAGGGACAATTACAATAAGAATATATTAATAAATGTGATGGCAATAACAGTAGTATATATTAAAAAATTCACAAACTAGAAGAAACTACAAAACTTGTCTTCGCATCTTGTCCTTAGAAACACAACTGTAATTGTGCTTTTCCCGAGAATTTTTTAAACAATTTTTCATTTTGAGGCAGCAAGTAGCCTAAAATATAACATCGACTTTTCTCATAAAGAGTGTTATGTTCCATAGGTGGTGTCAACATCTCTGGAACATAACAGTCTTCATGAGAACAATTTTTTACTTTCTTCTAGTTTCTGAATATGTTTAATAATATTTATTACTGTCCTGGCCATTCCATTTATTAGTATGTTTTTATTGGGGTAATTATTGTTTTCTATATTGTGTACATCTCAACATTAAACAATAAAAATTCAAATTATTGATCTTAAAAATATATTAATATAAATTCATTAAAATTTCCTGTTAATATTTTAAAAATATTAAATATTTGACAATTAATGTGCTTGGATATGAAAAAAAGTTAATTTATCTCATTTCTATATATAAATGTTGATTTACATATATAGAAAGTTAATTGTAAAGAGAGTAGGAATTAATAAAAATGTTTATTAATTATTAATCTCTTTTTAATATACAAAAGTATGTGATATATTATAGAAATTTAAAATTTTATCTTGAAGAAGCACCAATCTTAACCAAAATTTAAAGGATATTAGTATTTTATCAAGCTGTCTGGTTTTAACAATACAGTGGGTTATCGGTTAACGAGCAAATCAGATAACGAACACTTTCACGAAAGATTTTTATGATCAGACAATGAACACTTCACTGAACAAACATAAGAAGAAGCAAGGTAAAATAATGAATACCAATTGGTCTACCCTTATCTTAAAGCGACAATTCGAAACTTTTCGGAGCGCGGGAGACGTCGACATCGACTTTCTACCCAGTATAAACTGATCGGATAGTATTCCCTCAAACTTTGAAACTCTCCCTTGTAATTCCAGCCTTTTATATTTCTGACAGAAAGAATTCTTTTACGTTTTCTACTGAAAATGTGGATTAATGCCAATATTTGCTATTAAAGATCTTTTGAAGAAGTGGGAGGATGTCAGAACAACGGTCTTAACCAGGCAGACAATGTCATCCAAACCAGGTTGAGGTTAATAGGAGTAGGGATCTCTACAATTACAATGCTATTAATTACTTATGAAAAATCACGAAGAAGACAGAAAAGCAATCGACATTGGACAGATTTTTTAACCCCCACAAATGGAAAAAACATGACTAATAAAAATGCAAGACCATGTATATATGTATTTTTATTATTACATATGAATAAATGTAGTAAGAAAGTATATATTTTATATATTTTTTATTTTTGGGGGTCTCCAGAACGAATTAATCAAATTCCCATAGAAACCTATGGTAAATTGATACTCAGTTAACCAACAATTCGGATAGCAAGCAAAGTCTTGGAATGGATTATGTTTGTTAACTGATCACCCACTGTATATTCTATTTATAATCATAAAAGGCAAGAATCCACTAATAATTCTAATACTTAAATTTATAAACTGTTGTGAGAATAGTTCAATGTCATAGATATTTTAGTAATGATAATTGCAATGTAATTAAATGAATAAAAATTAATATTTACAGATGTATCAATTCAAATGTCAAATAATTGTTATTGTATAAATTGCTTCATGATCTTTATCTTTTAAAACAATATTTTAATGAATGCCAGAATAACTGACAGTGATTACAAACAAAATATTGAAGTGTTAATACAGAATTTTGATAAAGACGATGATAATATAAAAGCTGGAAGTGCAATTTCACAATATTTGAGTAAATTTTGTTTCCAACTTTTTAGTAAAATCTTTTCTAAATGCTTCTATGAAAAGTGTATTAGAAAATATTGAATGAACACAAATTTTATATATAATTACGTATTCATTTTAACTTCATCTTTTAATATAGTCCATTGTAACCTGAAAAATTTATATTATTATGTATTCAATTAGTCTGTTTAAGGCCAAGTTTTATGTCTCACTTTAGTCTAAAATTTTCCTGTCATTTAGAAAAACCAGTTTTTTTTCCAATTAAAATACACTAACTTTTTAAAGTGTACTATTTTGTGTATAAAAGAACCTTATTTTACATTGTGATATGGTTTTCATCAGTAACAATGTTTAATTCCTTTTCTACAGAAAGGCACCATAATTTTGTCTATTAGGTGAAAATATTCATGAATTTCTTCACTAAAACACATTACTTGTGTGACCCATATAAGTATAAAAAATCTAATTTTTCATCACTAACATTTTCCTCTTGTAAATTGCCATTTTTCAATGAATTCTCACCTCGAGCTCCAATTTAAAACAATTTATCCATACTGAACATGCACAAAATAAAAATTTGAAGATTATAATACAGGCTAGAAGAACTATTCAATTAGATATCACATTTTTTAAAATTCTAGCAAAATTCATCTCAGTTGAAAAATGTAGTACATAGTAAACGAGTATACTTGGCTTCTCCAAGTATACTGATGGATGGCCTTGAAAGTTTAATATTCATTGTTGTGGAAAATTCTTTATAATTCTTATACACGTTGCAAAAATGAAGTAGGAAACTTTTCATTTAACCTTCAAAAAATGTTTATGTATATTCTGGAATGTACATTTTTGCTTTGTAGCATTTGTAATATCTGATATGTAAAGTTTTATTTTTATTTTTAGATTGTTTCTGGAACATCGTCTCCATTTTCCTCAGATGACTACATTTGACAGATAATGGTCGAAATGCTTTCCTCAACTGATGTTTATTTGGGTATTTGAAGACATCACTGGTTCTGTCTGTGTATTTAATTTAATTCATGCTCAGAAGATTAACTTTTGATTAGAAATGCTACAGTTTATCAGCTAAATTATTTTGCATGATGTATTTAATTAAAATATGTTAAATGTTAAATTTTTTATTTGTGTATAAATAAATATTTTCTTAAAAAAAAAAGATAGAAATTAAAAATTTGAATTTTACATGTTACATGGTGCCACTTTTATGTTTTAAATTGACTGTTCAGTTACATTGAAGTCAGCCTTGAAGTAGAGAATTGGTATAGTTTTATTGTAACTATTCAATGAATTGAAAGTTGTTTTGGGATGAGCAAACACTTTAAGGAAGAAATTCAGTGTTGTTTGAGTGTTTCTTCTTATGAGTGGTATCCTTTTTTGTGCCGTCATCTTCACTTGGGTACATACCTGATTAGAAGGGAAGAAAGAAGAGAAAACAACAGTGAATATGTTTAATGTGCCACACTTTGTTCACTACCAGTGATATGCTTCAGTTCTCCTTTGTTTATAGAGAAAAGTTAACAGATGTTTTACGTTTTCTTTCTATTGGTTAGCCAACAATCCTTTCTGTTTTGACACGGAGACCAATGGTTAGCAATAAAACATACTTATCTTCCATGACTGCTAATTTCTCATTTATATATTTTATGTTCATGATATCCAAGTAGATATTTCCAGGACATCTTTCCATACTTCAATCTTGTCTAAAATTCATGATAAGATCCTGTTACTTAATTTTTTAAAAAAGGGTATAATATTCTCATATTCAAAAAGGGTCTTTTCATCATCTCTCTGACTGTCTTTTTGATTTCAACAATTAGTCTGGATGTCCAATGTTTTTAAACCTGACATAATAATTTATAGTGTTGATCGAAGAAGAAAATCTTATTGGTGATTATACTGGGAAGAAAAAATAGAAGTGAGATTTCTGAAGAAGTAGAAGACAAGATTTCTGAAGAAGTAGAAGACAAGATTTCTCAGGTAATATCCATTTTATATAAAATAAAATATGTTATTGATGTAAGAAGTCTTGATCTTTGA